TTTTCGGAAGTATCATAAGTTATAGTTATTTCAGTACTTTCGGTTTTAACATGCTCAAGGAATTCGATGTCTGAGCTCTCAACAGACTTTTTGTCCACTGTTTGTATAATTTCTCCCTCAAAAGATTCTAACTTGGTGCTCTCTACAAACTCTTCTATTTTTACTGCGGTATCTTTATGATCAATAATTTCTACTATGGAATTCTCTATAATTTTTTCTTTATTAGTTACTAACTCTGAATTATCCGGTAATTCACTTAGGGGACTAGATACAGATTGTTGTTCTTCAATTTCAGGTCCTGAACATGTAAAAAAATCATTTGGAGGATTATCTGTACATATATCTGCCTTTACCTCTGAGAGTCCAGTTATCTGGTCTTGATTTTCCAATGCATCACTTTCTTCTTCAAAAATATTTTTAGAAATATCACTTTTTAAACATAAACTTTTATCCTCTATTCCTGTGTTCTCAAATTTTTTAACTTCTTCCTTCTCTTCAACTAGTCCCAGAGGATCTTGAGTACAAGACTCGGAATGAGAAGATTCTGTTTCTTTTTCTACATCATTATTCTCAGTATGTTCCTCACTTTTTTCTATTTGCTCGCTGCTGCAATTTTTCAAGCAATTAGCAGGCTGATTATCTACATTTGTCTGTTCATTACAAGTGTTATTATTTTCTGCATCTGACAGGTGCTCTTTCTCTAACATAGGTGGCGCATCAGATTCTGCTGCTTCTTCATCTACTGAATCACTGGAAGATGATTTTTCAGGAGGAGGTGCAGAGCTCCGAAGTTTCTTTTTCAATAATGGTGGTTTTCTTCCTCTTCTTACAGGCTTCCGTTTTGGGGCCTGTCTTGTTTGCTTCTCTAACTCAGCTGATGAGGAAACATTCAAAGGTGGATTACTGTTACCTGGGGCATCACACCCAGAACTACTTGATACTGACGATCTTTGAGATTGACCAACAGTTTCAGCTTTCATATTCCGTGTAGATCTCCTTGTAGGAGGTGTTGCTGTAGGCTTTCGCCTTGATCCTCTGGTATTTGATGTACCAGAAGTTTGCTTCTTTTCTTCTCCTTCTTGAGTATGTGCTACTGCATATCCCTTGTAATACGTACCTAATAATATTGTAAAGGAGTGAAAGAAAAAAAAAAATATATATATATATGTTTGTTGATATATATGTTTTAAGAATTGACAATAGTTTGCCTTTAGCTAATTTCAGTGAAGAGTCAAGTTTTTCTTTCTTTTTTTTTTTTTTTTGAGAGGTTTATGCTATAGGGCGCGTGCGTTCACCAGACAGACAGAGAGAGACATAGAGACAGAAAGCGAGAAATCACCTAAGGGGGATGGTCACACCGCAATCCCTTCTCCTCCATTCTCCTCTCGGGATCTTGGGCACGCACGCACACGCGCCCGGCGTGAGTTCTAAGCCACCGGATCCGGGACGCAAACCACGGTCAACTACGTGGGAGTCCAGCGACATAGCCATTACGCTAACTGCTGGTTCCGGTGAAGAGTCAAGTTTGTAATTCAATGAAACAAAATATAGGCTGAGTATGTCTAATAAAAAATCCCGAATCCTCCAAACTCCAAATCTTTACTGGCACCAGTGTGATGCCAGAAGTGGAAAATGCCATTCCTGACCTCATGTGAGGAGTCATAGACAAAATGGTATAATAAAAAAATACTGTAAAAAAATCAACCTTGGGCTATGAGTACAGGTGTATATGAAACATAAATAAATTTTAGGTATAGACTTGGATCCCATTCCCAAGATACCTCATTATGTGTATTCAGATATTCCAAATCGAAAAACTTTTAAAATCTAAAACACTACTGGTCTTAAGCATTTTGAATAAGGTATATTCAACCTTTACTTTTGAATTCTATCATGACAGATGCACTAACATCTGAATAATATGAAGTGTTCATCAGTTTATTTTTAAGAAGTATTTATTTAATTTTATTCATTCATTCATTTATTTTAATTTGACCAGAGAGACAGAGAGAGTGAGAGAAAGAAAGCAAGTCACCAGGTCCAGGACTAAAATCGTGGTCAGCCATGTGGGAGTGTCTAGCACCTTAGCCACCATGCCACCTGCTGGTCCCCTTCATCAGCTTTTTTAATGCTACTAAATCGTAACCAGATTTGGATCTACATGGGCATTTTTCTTTTTGAGAGATTTTTGCTATAGGGCACGTGCACTTGCCAGAAAGACAGAGAGGGACAGAGAGACAGAAAGTGAGAAATCACTCCCCACCAGAGATAGCCACTCCACAATCCCTTCTCCTTCATTCTCCTCTCGGGATCTTGGGCATGCACGCACACGTGCCCAGCGTGAGTTTAAGCCACCAGGTCCAGGACTCGAACCGTGACCGACTACATGGGAGTTCAATGACATAGCCATTACGCTAACTGCTGGTCCCAATGTGGGCATATTTTTAATTGCCAGAGAGAACATGTGCTTCCCAGAGGGAGACAGAGAGAAAGAAGGGGGTGGACAAAGTACCCAATGGGGCATGGTTATACCGTAATCTCTTCTCCACTTCTCTATCCTGTCAGGACTTGGGGCACAGGAATTTGAGAAACAAGCCAAGCATGTTTCTCAAGTAGCTGAGGCCATGATTTGAACTATTGTCAGCCACATGGGATTCAGCTCCCTTATCCACTAGGCTACAGGACCAATTTTAAGGATTAAAAAAAGAAAAATACATTTGGTTTGTAACTACTGTTTTGTGAACTGGTATTATCTAGACAAAAAGAAAGAGAAAAGTGGGGAACCAGCAGTTAGCGTAATGGCTATGTCGCTGGACTCCCACATAGTCGACCACGGTTCACATCCTGGACCCGGTGGCTTAAAACTCACGCCGGGCGTGTGTGCATGCATGCCCAAGATCCCGAGAGAAGGGATTGCGGCGTGACCATCCCCTCTGGGGGGGGATTTCTCACTTTCTATCTCTCTGTCTCTCTCTGTCTGTCTGCTGAGCACACGCGCCCTATAGCAAAAACCTCTCAAAAAAAAAAAAAAAAAAAAAACTCATGCCGGGCACGTGTGCGTGTGTGCCCAAGATCCCGAGAGGAGAATGCAGGAGAAGGGATTGCGGCGTGACCATCCCCCCGGGGGGTGATTTCTCACTTTCTGTCTCTATGTCTCTCCCTGTCTGTCTGGCGAGCGCACACGCCCTATAGCGAAAAAAAACTTCTCCCCCCCCCAAAAAAAAGGAAAGAGAAAAGTGTCAAAAGTGTTGCTCATAATTAACAGGTGTGACTTCTAAACATCTATGGTTTAGATGTTAAGACCCTAAACAGACAGGAGACCTCTAATCAGTTCCAAGGTCTTGAAGTTGAATTTCTTAACACTGTAACACAGATTTTTCTAGTTGAACCAATTTTTTTTTTTGGTCAGAGGGTGCATGCATTCATGTGTAGAAACAAAAATGAACCCCAATGGAGATGGCCAACACTGCACTCCATCCTGGGGCATGCATACACACATCTGGCACACTTTTTAAGACATTAGGGCTGGGACTCAAATCATGGTTAGGCATGTGGGATCTACACACAGCACTAGGGCCAGCCAGAAACTAATTTTTTTAACTGACAAATAAAACTGTATTAATAGATTATTTATCATGTATAACATGATGCTCCGAAGCATGCATACATTTCAGAATAACTAAATTTAGGTAATTAACAATGTGCATTATCTAAAAATAGTTATCATTTTTATAGGGAGGACACTTTATCGCCACTCTCTTAGCATTTATTCAGGAATATAATACAGTAACAAAGTTACCATGTCATACAATAGAACTCTTGAACTTATTTTTTTAATCTAACTAAAATTCTGTATCTGTCTTAGACCAACATTTTTCCAAACACCCCACCAATCACCCTGACTCCTGGTAACCATTCTACTCCATGCTTCTATGAGACCAACTTTTCTTAGATTCCATATATTAATAAGATCATGTGGTATTTGTCTTTTTGTGCCTGGCTTATTCCACTTAGCATGTTCTCCAGGTTCATCCAGGTCACTACAAATGGGAGGATTTCCTTCTTCCACATGGCTAAATGGTATTACACTGTATATATACACTTTAGTTGGAACAATATTAAAATAAAGTCACAATATTTACAGAAAATATCTAAGAGTCACTACACATTATTTTATAACTTTTAAGTCAACAACAGTCATACATGAAATTAGAAGTTAACAATTTAAAATAGAAAAACATTTCAGAAACTTTACCAAAATGTTCCAATGATATGGTACTTGTTGGAAAAATCATTCTTGGTGACACAGAAGAAATGAGAGGAAGGACTTCAACATTCCAGGGAATAAAACCAATTCTAAAAATTTAAAACAAAATAAAGATATTTTAAAAAATGGTTTAAAAGTTAAATCAGCAAATTAAGATAACTCTCCAAAATCAAGGTAGCAGTATTAAAATACAGTGCTTAAATTTTTTTACCCATGTAACTAAAACTATAAATTCAAGGTTACTCAATGCCCAAGGATGGCTACCAACTGACTGCAAAGAAAAAAACCTTTTAAACATGTATCTTAAGGGACCAGCAGTTAGCGTAATGGCTATGTCACTGGACTCCCATGTAGTCAACCATGGTTCGAGTCCCAGACCCGGTAGCTTAAACTCACACCAGGCGCGTGTGCGTGCCCAAGATCCCAAGAGGAGAATGGAGGAGAAGGGATTGTGGCGTGGCCATCCCCCCTGGGGGGTAATTTCTTGCTTTCTGTCTCTCTGTCTCTCTATGTCTGTCTGGCAAGCACATGTGCCCTATAGCAAAAACCTCTCCCAAAAAACCCATGTATTTTAATACATATAAATTAATGGCAAAGGGAGATGAAGGTAACTTAATACAAACAGATGTTTACCTTTTAAGTAATTTAATGTAATATCATGTCAGGTTTTTTTTTTTTAGTTTTTATTCTTCACTACTCAAAAAAACAACTTTGATGCATTAAATTAAGAGTACAATAAAATGCACAAATTTTATGTCTACAACTTTTTAACCCATGTATATCTATCTCTATAACCACCACCTGATGAAGAAACATTTCTATTTTCCCAGAAAACTTCCACATGTTCCAGCACTCCTTTCTTTTGAAACAATCAAAGAACTGATTCCTATTGCTATGGTATAGTCTAAAATTCCTCAATCTGAGGCTGATAGCTCTTCCGTGGTCTTGTGTTCCTATGGAGTTTTTAGGATTCCCAAATTTTTCTGCATTTAAATCCAATCTACCTTCTCAACTTCTTTTTTCTCTTATTCATCTTTCAGGTCTTCTAACAAAAGACTATCTCATTCAGTATAAGGTGAGATTCTGGATTAGGAGATAAATTTGAAAAATATGTGCAATTTATACATGTACAAAAATATGTAACTATAAGGGGCGGTCTCGTAATATACCTATCTGGACATCCTATTTTTAATTTTTTTCTTGCTTTCTTCATGATAAGAGTGCATGTATATGTGCATGAGAGAGAGATACAAACACCCTCCACATTCTGGTCACACCAAAATTCTCTTCTTCTAGCACTTTGGACCTTAGGTACTCACTAGTGTGCCCAGGATACTGTAAGTTGACTGGGCCAGGGATTTGAACCATGGTTGTCATGAGTGATCTGCCTTCTCTTGAGCAGCATATGACTACTATGCTACACAGCCAGCCTGACTTCCTAATTTTACTTGTGCTTCTACTCCATCATCATTCCTAGAGAGTGAAGGCCTTATACAGAATTATAAGGACATAAAAAATAAAGTCATAATATATTGGGTTATTGGAAAAGTCATGACACATTTTTACATAGAAAAAATATATCATGACTTTTCCAATGACCTAATATTATAGCAAGAGATATAAAACTCAGGTGAGTACCTTAATCTGTATGTTAGGCGTCTGACTTAAGTGTAAGTATGTAGAGCACTTAAAAAACTAAGGAAGAATTAGGCTATACAAAGTCATAAATGTCAGGGTATAGGCAGCACTTGATCAAATAGCTACTCAAAAGAACATTTTTGAGATGGAAAATATGATAAAAGCAGTGCTTCAGCAGAGCGTACACAGATAATATTGGAATCACAGAGCAGAGGACTAGAAGGAGGATGACAGGTTCGAATGCTATTACTAAAAAATGAATTTTACTATTCAGGTACTCTCCATTTTTTTGTGTTTTTGTTTGTTTATTATTTTTTTTCTCCCTTTCATGAGAGATGGAGTGACAGAGAAAGAAAGCATCTGCAACAGGGTCCTGATGCTGTGATCTGTCTCCAACCTTCATCCAGCCTGGATTATGAACATGCATGTATGTGTTTAGCAATCTCAGAGAGGTCTTTAGATGTGAGACTGCCTCACAGAGCATCACAGTTTACCACTTTGCTATCGTTTAGCCCCCTGGTGCTTTCTCTTTTAAATGAATGTAGCATATAAATATCTAACCTTATTAAACAGATATTAAAGGTTCTTTACTTTCCAAGGGGTTCTTTAAATAGAAACCACTGTTAGACATTTAAAACATTGTAGTATAGGGACTGGCAGGTGGCATAATGGTTACATTGCTGGACGCCCACATAGTTGACCATGGTTTGAGTTCCGGATCTGGCAGTTTAAAACTCATGCAGCTGCTGCGTGCCCATCCCCTGGGGGGGGAGGGGGATTTCTCACTTTCTGGGACCAGCAGATGGCGTAATGGCTACGTCGGTGGACTCTCATGTAGTCGACCATGGTTTGAATCCTGGACCCGGTGGCTTAATCTCATGCCAGGCGCTTGTGCATGCATGCCTAAGATCCCGAGAAGAGAATGGAGGAGAAGGGGCTGCAGCATG